AGAATAATTCCAGACTTGTGTAATAAAGATTTGGCCCTTCATCCTCTGTTGTTAGCAAGAGGTGATTAAGTATTAAAAGTAGATTTAATAGTCTGTTGTAGTGACAGAGTTGAATAACCACAGATATTTGGTACCAAGAAGAAGCATCTTGCTACCTAAGGTTATGAGTGTCCTTCTGGCTCTACGGTAAGGCAGAAGACATGGCCCTTATACATTATTTCTGAGTAGAGACTGTAGGCTATGCCCAACACTAGCCTAATACTGAATTCCAACTTGAAAGCAGTTCATTACTAACTCACCAAAGGCAGAGACCTCTTTCTTCAAGCGCTACTGCTTACAGCTAAAGATGCTGGCTGGCATTAACACAGATAACCCTTCCTGCTTCTTTTGGGCATTACTGTTATGTCAGAACCAGGGGCTGCATTCTCTTGCCTGGTTTCTGGAACTCTTATGAAGGCAGTTTCACATAAGTATATGGCCAACTTGGTGTTTCTGAGGGATGTGGATGACTGGAGAGGCCAACTCTATCATACTGTCCTGTCCTCTCCCATCAATGTAACTCATTTTAGTTATTCCGAATTCCTTGTCTGAACTCCACAATCTCTACCTTATTTGAGCTAGCCTCTAATGTTTCCTTCCTTTCTTTAGACTTGCTTTTCTTTGTGTGTTGGCATGTCTTTTCTTAAACTCGGCGTTGTGTGCTGTTTAGAAATACTGCAGCTATAGGCCCTTAGGTTCATGTCTAGGGTTCCTGCTCTGCTTACTGCTGTGCTGATGCAGTGGCAAGCTTGGCTAGAAGAAGGGCATTCTACAGCACTATGACTGATGACAGTCATTCATCTCCCTCAGCTACAGTGTGCAGAAGTGTTTCCCAGCCTTTTCCCCTTGGGATGAGGATGAAATGCTGTGGACTGGAAGAGGACATTTCCTTTCTCTCCTTTCAGTTAGGTTCTTGAAATCTCCTTCAAGGAGAACGGAGAACTGAGCACTGCTGGTTTACCCCAGAATGGCTGAGTGTCAACCTGTGTGGCACACATACAGTCCCGGCACCTGGGAAGCTGATGTAAGAGAGCCAGGACCTCAAGGCCAGTCTAAGGTGTTTTGTATCAGAGAGAAGTGGGAGTGCTTTTCTCCTTCTACTGATAGAACCCCCCAAGGAGATTACAGTCTTCAGAATGAGAACATGAAAGGAAACACGGAAGTATTGGGACCCCACACACACAGACCCAGCCCTCTCATCTACGTATTCCTGTCCTCAGCCACCAAGATCCTTGACTCAGATCTAACTCTGCCTTAATTACAGTTCTGAGTGGACCATCTTCCTATTTTCCTATCAGTTTTTGCAGATCATCTATCTCTAGAAGGGCCCATTCACTTTGATAATAACCAGAGTTGCAAATTCAGAATTTAAAAATGCATTAATGTCAGTTTAAGTTGATAAAATGTAAGTGTCATATTTCTATCTAGACTCAAGGAAGTGACAACTGAAACATGTTCATCAAAGAACCTTGAATTCTTGGTCAGAAGGGGAACCAGATCCAAATCATAAATTCCAGAACATTTTAGCCCTGCCTCCCCCTGCCTCTGCACTAGGGAAAGACGCTATGCCTAGATGTGCTTGTTAATTAATTCATCCCACATCAATGATGTGTCTGGAGTAATTTTCAGAAAGTAGCCAAACTGCGCCACTTAGTTCACTCAAGGAAATATAAGCTGAGCACAGTGATCCCAATATACTGTGGGAGAGGGCAAAAGGTCTGAATCTCAGGGCCAGCCTGAGCTTTACAGTATGACTCTATCTAAACCACACACACACTGTGGAAATGAGATTAATTATTAGTAATCAGTGAAGATTCACTAGCATTCAAAGAAGTGAAAGTAAAATATCACTACCTTATCTATAATGTATAATATATATACATATATATGTATATATATGTATATATTACTAGCGGACATTTGCAGATTCCTAATTAATCAAAACTGTTAATTAAAACATGGCTTAAATAGGACTTGTTCTACACAATGTGGAAATAAGGTTTTGGTGACTGAACTTAAATATAGCTATGTTCTGTCCTCCTGTAGATGGTATTCTAACTGTACATCCTAGAGACGTTCCTTTGCTTACTTCTGGGGACATGTAAGAGCATGTTCAACACACTGGTGTTTGCAGAAGGTAGAGGAGGGACACGACCTTAATTGGGAAGATAAATACACAGCCTAAAATTTAGTCCCTATAAAGCCACACCCTCAGAAAACAATTTGCAATATGCAACTTATTTTAAAATCAATTTAAGGAAGCACTGGTTTAGGAGGAGACACAGAGATCAGGGCAGTATCACTAATCCTACAGAGGGTGCATTGTTGGAGGTCATCTGTTGACAAAGAAGGCAAAAATCACTCTGAATAACATCAAGAGAAAGTGCTGTGCAAGTCTCAGAATGTCCCCAAGTGAACAGAAAGGAAGTGCCGACGTGCATCCTACAGCTCATTTCATTCTCAGGTATGCTGCTGCACCAGGAGCATGTGTGTGTGTGTGTGCGTGTGTGTGTGTGACAGGCAAGAGAGCTCCAGGTTATTCACCAGGAAATGATAAGAATGCCCAGGACATTTGATGCCAGGAACATCAACACAACACTTATCCACTGCTGGTGGAAACAGAAACCAGTGCAGCCACCACAGAAATGAGTATGGAGGGTCCTCAAAAGGCTAAAGAGAGTGCTGTCACATGACTAGGTTTGAGCATATACATAAAGGACTCTATATCTTACCACAGAGGTATTTGCACATATGTATTTGCAATAGCAAGGAAATTGAATTAGGCTGGATGTCCATCAACAGAGGCATGGATAATGAAATGTGGCATATATCCACAATGGAATTATACAAAGAAAATAGAATTATGAATCATTTGCAGAGAAATAAGTACAAATAGAAAGTATTGTATTAAGTGAGGTAATTCAATCTCAAAAAAATAAAAATTCCAAGCTCTCTTTCATATGCAGATCCTACTTTTAACGACTATATGTATTTAAATAAGGAGATATAACAGTGGGTATAGATTATGAAATTATATAGGAGACTATGAGAAGAGGACAAGGTGTTGAGAAGGGAGGAAAGGAGGGGAAGATCCTCTGTTATCTGAAGATGGAAAGGAAGCTACTGAGTGTGGGAGGTATAAGGAAGGAGAGGAAGAGGGAAAAGAAGGGTGAAGAGAAGCAATAAAAACAATTTTTTTTAAAAAATGCCCTAGTTAAACTAATTTTCAGTATGCTAATATAAATTATATGTAAATGTAGTGTAAGTATAGGTTGCATTTACACCTTATAGTAATATAATATGTATATTATATATTTAGGATACATAAATTTATATATTTAAAGCATAGACCTTTCCATCTATGTTATATAAGAAGCATCAAGAATTGTAGACTAATGTCTTTACTGTAATTTGAAAATGCAAACGGAGTGAAGTGGCTCTGACACCACACCCATGGATATATTTCTGACATTGCCTGCTGCCTTTGGGTAGAGATGTAAACGGGAGTGAGTTCGGGAAGAAAAGATGGAAACTGGAAAAATAAGACTATCGTAGCTGGTAGTGGGAATAAAATACACCAGCGTCTCCTGCCTCTCTGGGTCCTGGATCTGCTTTGCCGGGCCCCTCCCCATACTCTGACCTTCCAACAGAACAGTCTGATCTCAGGCTCGCAGCGGGCAGGAACAACGTGAAAAGCCGAGAGCCCTCACAATCTGAGGCACGCACACTTTCAGAATAGGAAACCCAGAAGCCCGTAAACTACAGTTCCCAGAGAGCCTTGAGGGCAGGACAGTTGGACAGCCAATGAGCACTCCCTCTCTAGGCGTGGACAGCCGGCCACGACTTCCTGGTGACAGGCCGGGTGTACCCCTTGAGCTGAGCTGCCCGGCTGCCTGACCACCTGCAGAGCACTTTGAAAGTCTGGCACCACGGGTTTCATAGGAAGACCAGGAGGCGGAAGTCTACCCAGGCCTGAACGGCAAGTTCTAAAGTTGTTATAATTATTCACAGAGCATGGGTAGTACTCATATGGGTCGAGACCCCTTTGGGTCGCATATCAGATATTTGCATTACGACTCATAATAGAAGCTAAATTACAGTTATGAAGTAGCATCGAAAATAATTTTACGGTTGGGGGTCACCACAGCATGAGGAACTTAGAGAATTATGAACTTAGAGCATTATGAAGGGTGAGCATCACTTACTTGTACGAGGGATGCTTGGCTCAAATCCTCTGGGTGACAGTCACCGTCAGCATTCATTCTACCAGTGAAAATTTGAGTAACTGTTTTAGATTGTCTAAAACTCTATTTCCTAACAGTAAAATGAGGGTGCTTGCTTAAAAGGTTGTCTTCACAGAGAACTGTTACAATTGTATTTCCCTCAGGGGAACCAGTCCTCTGTCCCCAACAGGGAAAGTCCTAAAGGGCGCAGTTAAGGGTGCGGGGAGTGACTCAGTCTGCGATAGCTGAGGAAAACTCTCCCAATGGCCCCAAATGTCCAGCCTCGTTAGGTTGTGCATCTGTGTTGTCCAGTGGAGTTCTAGCATGCTGGAAAGAACAGGGGAAAGGGCCTCCAGGAGCCATCAAGGACAAACTATCAACTTCGTTTCGGTCAGACTAAGAAGCCAGCCCTGAGCACAGTCCAGAATTCTATAGCGGCAAGGAGCCTTCCACTGTACAGAGCCCCAAGAAGAAGGGGCCGTGTCCTCTGCTCTGAACTGCTTCTGCCTCATGGGTCAGGTGACTACCAGAACAAGCCTCCTGGGCCTTTTCTGAGCTGCTGTTTTCTTTCTCTAAGTTCCTCCCCACTCCACCCCCTATCAGTCCAAAGAACAACTCCACCCTGAATTCTGCCCGACCTCTGGTGCCTTAGGAGTTTGGTTTCCACCGCTTGATTGCTTAATGTTGGTGTCCGCCCTGGAGGCAGAGAGGCCGTCAGTTCTGAGCGGTTTCGTGTGAGTTGGGCTGTGTGCTTTCTAAGTATTTTGTGATTGCTCTGGGCAAGGAGTTTACTCTCCAGCTTCTTAACAGCTCCAACCCTTCCTGTTTCATTATAGTTAATCACTCTTTAGCCTGGGCTGCAGCCGTTTAATCAGGTAAGTTCTGTCCTGCGACTTTTGAGAAGCCACCCGCAGTGCATGCTTCCAGTCGGAAGCCTTGGAGTCTCTGGACCATATTCTTTAGTTAATCGAGTGTATTTCCTTTGCATTTTTGTCTTTTCTAGAACTGCATGGGATCTAATGCCTCTGGCTTACTTTCTCAATTGCTATCTGCTCAAATGAGCTATTTAATTTGAATATCCCTACATTGATCTTTCGACAGTTCCAGTGTGACAGTACTGGACCAGATTTTTCCAGTTCTGGTCTTTTTTGTTTTGTTTTGTTTTGTTTTGTTTTTCGAGACAGGGTTTCTCTGTGGTTGTGGAGCCTGTCCTGGAACTAGCTCTTGTAGACCAGGCTGGTCTCGAACTCACAGAGATCCGCCTGCCTCTGCCTCCCAACTGTTGGGATTAAAGGCGTGCGCCACCACCGCCCGGCTCATTCTGGTCTTTTGTAGTCTTCAGGTATCATTTTTGATTTTGTTTGTTTGTGTGTTTGTTTGTTTGTTTTGATGTGGGTTTCACAGGTACCAGGCTGGCCTTGTACTCCCTGGTTCTGAACTTGAATTTTTCATCCTCTTATCTCTACTTCATGAGTGGTGGCATCACAGACATAGACTACACCTCGTTTCTGCCATGCTGGGGATGCAGCCAAGGGCTTCGTGCATTCTAGGCAAGCACTCAACCAGCTCTGCTATACTGCTAGCCCATCATTTTTACTTTATTTTCTGCAGATGGGTATTTTTTCTGCATGCATATTTGTGCACCATGTACATGCCTGGTACCTGCTAAGGCCAGAAGAGGGTATCAGATACCCTAGGACTGGAATAGGGGGTGATTATGCATGGCTAAGTTGGTGCTGGGAACTGAACCTGGATCCTCTGGAGGAGCAGTCAGTGGACTTTACCATTTAGCCATCTCTCCTGCTCCAATATTTTACTTCTCTGTTCCCTAAAAGACAACGAGGCTTGCCAGCAGGCACAGTAACCACCCCTTCGCAGCAGGCCTTTGCTGTGTTCCCTGCGATGGAGAGGAAGGACTTCATTGAGATTGTTTATAGTTACTGCTCTTCTCACTTCTGTAAGGTTTGAGATCTTTGCACAGCTGTCCCCATCCCCTTCACGAAGTCCTCACCATGTGGTGTGTGAGGACAGTAGCTTCCCTCACTACCTTGGAGATGGAGTTTTCATTACTTCCCCTCCAAACACGCCTGTGGAACATTCTGGTGCCGGACGGAGAACTCCCTTCTTTTTTTTTTTTTTTTTTTTTTTGGAGAACTCCCTTCTTATGAAGTGCTCTCTATCTTTGCTGCATGCTCAGGCGGGTCTCTTTCCCTCTGCATTTCACGAATGCAATGACAACGTGTTGCAGTGTTGGACTCTAGCGTCCAAACACCGAGAAGGAGTCGCCCCCAGAGACCATCTCACACACCACAGCCGATGCAAAGCATGAGGATTTTATTAATTCTGTCATGACAGGGTCCCCCAGCATTCGGGAAGCCGAGGGACCTTGAATAGCTGGTGCAGTCTACTTTTAAAGGGGCCACAGAAGCAAGGGAGGTTGTTCTTTGACTATTCTGGTTGGCTTATTCGAAAGGGCTATTACCAATAATTGACTGGAGAGCTGTTGCCAGATCAGATGAGGTAAGAGGTCATTTTGACCCCGTTTCCCAGGGGACCGAACCAAAACATACGTATATGGGTAATTGTTCAGGAACTGAGTACGTGCGAGTGTAGCTGTTAGGTCCTTGATTCCCAGGGGAGGAGGGGAAGCACTATGGCACAGAGGCTGAGGGGATTCAGAATTGTCAAAAATGGCTTCAGGATTGTCTTAAAGTCTTACAGCAGCACCACACTTTTCCAGAGTTGTGTCCTTCTTGTTTATCGGGGCACAGCTTCTTCTTTTTCCTTTTCCATTCCCAACATGCCTGTGTTTCTCCTCACATATACTTTCTGCCCCACTTTCCCCTTCTCCTCCTCCGTGGTATGAAGGGGCTTGTTTTCTCTCTTCTGCTTCTCGCTGCTCTGGTACCGAGTTGTCTTTTATCGGCCTTCAGTGTGACTATAAAGCATCTCTTAGACACGAGATGCTATGGTCTTAAAGATGCATGTGCTAAATCTGTGGTCTGAAGCCTGCTCTGCCCCTGGGAGATGGTAGAGCCTTGCGGGCAACTTCACAGTCAGTTGCAAGTGTGGGGCCCACCCTTGAGCAAGATCCTGAAACCTCCACCTTCCTCTTTCTCTGACTTCCTTCCCTGATGCTTGTTCCTCCAAACGCTGCTTTCGATGAAGCGTGGTCTCCTGTCGGGCCCAAACACAGTAGGCATAAGGGACCATCGGCTCAAAACTAGGCTATAAATTAAAGCATCCTTTAGTTTTAATTGCTTACCTCAGATATTTTGATGCAGGAGATGTAACTGACTAAGAGTAAATGAAGTTGAGGGTTGAGGATTCGCTGCTGCTACTGTGTCAGTGTGTTTCAGAGGCCTTGGGATTTGTCTCATGAGTTTCAGGGAGTTTGGAGATGCCTTCTAGACAATGCCAAGAGATCGCCATGCAGATCTTAACATGTGACCATTGTGGTCTTAGAAGAGGCAAATACAAATGGAAATGTGGGCAGTGATATGCTCCCGGGGCTTCAGATAGGAAGGAAGGATCTACTGGGGATTAGACTAGCCACCCAGGTCACGCCATGTCAGATGATCCCCTGAGGCTGTGTGTTAGGGTGAGTATGGAGCTGACTGGATTACTCACTAGATGGAGGAGATTGCAAGGCAACACAGACTTCAGGAAGTGACGTAGATGTCATGAGTGATTGCAGCCAGACAGTGGACCTGAGCTCAGTGAGAAACAAAACTGCAAGTTGTGGAAAACTTGTAATTTGGCCATGACAGGAGCATATATGAAGTTTTATGAATAAGAGGTACAGTTCTGGGGGTCTCATAAAAATTCACTGGGACAATAAAAAAGATACCTTGGGGACATCCCTGGAAAGAGCTAGATCACCATCCCTTTAATCTCAAAGTTGTAAGGATGAAAAATTGCCTCTAATATTTTCTAGGGAAGAATCTTTTGATAATTAAGGACGTCTCGGGAAGTCTTTCTGTCTTTGTGTTTCCCTGGAACCTTCTTAGATGACCTCATGATTTTTTAAAGTGCTAACAACAGAAGCTCAGTCTCTCCGTGGATCTAATGGGCACCAGTGGCAGACCTTAGTGTCTTGAGGTGATTCTGGTCTTTCAAATAAAAATGTAAGAATGTGGGCTAGCAAGACCGCTGAGTGGGTGGCGTGGGGTGTCTTCCACCAGGCCTAATGATCTGAGTTCCATACCCAGAAACCCCATGGTAAAAGGAAAGAACGGGTTCTCTTAGGTTGTCCTCTGAGTTCCACAGGCGCGCGCGCGCGCACACACACACACACACACACACAGAGAGAGAGAGAGAGAGAGAGAGAGAGAGAGAGAGAGAGAGAGAGAGAGAGAGGTTTAAAAATAAAAGTAGCAGAGGCACAGGCATAAAGATTTTGACTCAGATTTCCAAGGAAGTCCTGGGAGGTTGGGCAGTGTGTGGAAGGGGAGGACCAGTGTAAGCAGAGCCTGGCAGACTTCCTCTTAGATCTGCTGGAAGGAAGCTTGGCTGCACTGGGCACCCAGGAACTTCGAGAAGCTGCACTGTAAAATCCCCCATGAGAGAAAGCTGCGGTATGCAGCAGAGCTGCTTCGGGAGAAGCTGGCATGGGCCAGAGGGTAAGATCATGGGCGTGGGGTTTCTCAAGTCCGAGGAGCCCACATCCTGAACATGGAGATGTACTGTAAGGGAAAGTTACCACTGCGTCTTAGGGCACCTTGTTTGAAATTGGCTCTACTTTGTAAAATTGTCTTGTTTTCCTATTCTTTGCACAGTATTGTAATTTTGCAAAGAATGACTAAAATATTAATGAACAGAATCAACGATTCCAGTAAAAGGAGACCAGGAGGCAGGAACACCGCTCTAGATGTCCTGACCAGTAATATTTCTTTAGTTTTTTAAAACCTCTGGAAATATCTGGTCCTAATAACACCTGCGAGTCAATGCTGCTCTGGAGTTGAAAGAAGAATGTCTGACTTGCATGAAAATAATATTTGCCAAGCATATTACAGGACAGATTATAGGTCAGGGCCCAGGAGACGACGGTCATCTGTAACCAAAGGGTTAGATAAGCTGAAGAAAAAAAATCCCCGAATGGCCAAAATGACCATCAAGTAGCTATGCATGACTGTGTGGCTTTTCTGTTGAAATAACTTAAAAAGTGAATCAAATCAACTACTGCAGGGAAATTGGACAAGGGAGTGTAAACGCTGGTCACAGTACCTCAATCCGTGGTATTTACTTAGTTTTCAAACCCTCTGGTGGGTCTGGTGGTCTTTGCATCTCACTGGTGGGGAAACCATTGTGCTCCCAGAATGTGCTCTTTCTGCCCTCTCATCAAAAGACAGCACAGTGTTTAAAATTCAGGAAAGCAAATGCTTGTCTAAAGGCTAGCCTGTCTTTAAAAACCGGATTTCCTGCCCAGGAGTCAGCTGTCGACACTTGTGATTGACTGCTCAAGGAGGGCTTACTCTCTGCTCTATGGGAATGTTGGTCTCCTTTGGTTTCATAGTTCCTTAGTATTGCCCTATAGCCTTCCTTTGGAAAGAGAACACTAACTCTGGGTCATTGTTTTTAACATGTAACTCCTTTAAGATTTCACAGTGGCTCCCAGCTCAGCAGCCTGGAGTCTCGGGGGAGAATTCTGACTTGGACTTCTGAGTGATACTGGACAGTTAAGCTTTAGAGGTCTTGGGCATGGAGAAGATAAATTTTGACTTTTAAGAGAAGCTAAGGGAAGAACACTGTGGTGTGAATAAGGACTGTAGGTGCATTCTATAGGTTTTATGGCAGCTCCTGCTCTGATTTGAAGGTCACAGACCTTTCAAGCCATGGAGGGTGCACTCTTGATGAGGCTTATCAGAGGTTGCTCCTGTCCTGTCTCTCTCTTTGCTTCCCAGAGTGAAGAGATTAAGCAATTTTGTGCACTGCACGATCTTGCCATGTTGTCTTTTGCCACCACAGATTCAAAGCAATAGGGCCATGGGTGAAGTCCAAAGTGCTAAAGAAAGTTACCTCACCCTCTTGCTTAAGTCTGGGTTGATTTGGCTCGCGTTCATTGTGTGGATGCAGAGATCAGAGATTGACCTCAGGTGTCTTCTTCAGCCACCATTGACCTCTGTTTTAGAGACAGGGTCTCTCACTAGACCTGGAGTTCACTGATTGGTTAGGGTGACTGGCCAGTGAACACCAGGAATCCATCTATCCTTAGACCCTACCCCACCCCACCCCATAACTGGGGTTACAGATCCATCCTCAGTGCTCTGGATTTGTACTCGGGTCCATGCTTATGCTTATGTGGCCGGCGCCTTACAGACTAAACCGTCTCTTTGCCCCAAACACGGTATTTTATTGGGTTATGTTTAACTTTTAGTTATTAAGATTCTGTATGGTCAAATACCTGTAAGGAAGTTCTTTCTGTTGTTCTGTTTCTTCTTCTAATGGTTCCAATGCTTGTCTTTCTAGTTCTGGAACTTTCTTTGTGTGTCTGTCTTGTCTTCCTCCCCCAGTAGCAAGGTGTCTTTTCCTCTGCTTGTCATTATGGTCATATATCTGTCTCTCCACTCTATGCATACTTCTCAAGTCTGCTGTAGCCGGTGTGACGTCTGATGGTTGCTAGTCTCGGACTCCTCAGTCTTGCCAGAGGAAGGGAAAGACAATGACATGGACAAGAGACTTTTTTGTGGAGATTCTCTGTGTAAGTGGTTACTTTTATATTCTCCACCTCTATGAATAGATTACTTTGCTTTCCTGCTCCAGCATTTCCAAATATAATCATGTCCTGCAGGAAGGTCAGGCGCTGTGGCTGCTTACTGGTGTTGATGTATCCTTGCTGTCCCACGGCAACTGGGCATCTGGTTGGCTGGTAGATGACTCATGACTTCTCGACCTCACAACTTAGAGACTGTCATGGTACTACCAGCTCCCATAATAATCCTTTGGATAAATGTCCTTGTGTATATCATATGCCCCCTTCACTATTTTGCCCACTCCCTCTGTTCAAAATATTTAGGGATTTTTTTTTCAGAACTTGTGTTCCACATTAAACTACCATTTTGTTCTTATGGAGAACTCTGTTGGGGCTGGAGAAATGGCTCAGCAATAACAGCATTCTTATAGAGACCCTGGGTTCAGTTCCCAGCACCCACATCAGGTGGCTCACAACCAGGGGATTTGATGCCCTCTTTTTGTCTCTGTAGCTGCCTGTGGGCATGTGGTACACATAAACTGAAGAAGGCACACACAGACACATAGAGGTAAAAAGATGGTGTTTTTAAAAGAAAAACCTTTATATATATTTGAAGCTATTTTTAATTATTTCTACAGTTTTCACAAGAAGAAGAAACATCCTACGACGCCTGAGCTAAACCTGACAATCAGCCCACATTAAGCTTTCCAGGACAGGTATGAAGAGCATGATAACTCTCAGCAGGCTCCCCTTACTGTATTCCTTCCACCTGCATTTAGTCTTCTCATGTTAATGATGAAGTGGAAAAGAAGGAGTCGGCTGCTTCACGGAGATGCTGCAAGGCATCATGTGGATTCAGCTGTGTTTCCCTTATGAGTTTCTTGGCAACTAGTTTATAAGTGTTTTCAGCATTTCATTTTAAATCTCAGCTTCAATGATAGATAATTAAAATATGCTTGGACACAGGCTACCCAAAGTATGGATTGATTACAAGATGTCACTAGTATCAAGGTCCCTAGCAAATTTCATTCTGATGGAGCTTCAATCAATACAGTTTGGCATTTTATCTTACAGGAGACTTTTGTTAATGTCATGGAAGATGTGGGTGGGGGGGAGGGAGTGGGGAAGAAGGGGTAGACAGGGATAGGGATGATGAAAGCCTTAAATATAAAGATCACACTTATAAAGAAATATAATTTCCTAATACAAAGCATGCTAGCTAACTAAGCTTTCCCATTTGGTTCAATCTTCCTCTCTCTTCCTAACATACTTAGTGCAGATTCTGGGATAGGGGCCAGGGAGAGTTTAGGATGTTCTGACAAACACCACTTGTTCTTTCTAGGCCTGAATAATAGATTTTAGAAGGTGTCCAAATGCCAAAGAAGGGTGATGGTAAAACTAGGGAGAGAAGGTGTGAACCTGAGAGTGTGGGAAGGGTAGCTGCGTGACAAAGGGAAATGCTGTGACCACGTGACAGATGAAGGCTTTGGTGATCACCACTGAACCAGGGCCAGGCCCTGTGTACCGTGTCCTTCCCGAGGGTACTATATTGCAAAGGGTTTCACTCAGGACCTGTGTTCTTCGCTCCTATTCAGAGTCTCATCAAAGTAAAGCTCTTGGGTGGCAGGTTACCAACCCTTTCCGAACAGACTGATGGAAGTGGGATGGTGGGGAGTCTGCGTCACCTGACAGCTCATAGCATTAGCATCTACTTCTTGATTTCCCTTCCACAGTCTTTGTTGCTGTTGCTTTTTCCCCATCATTTCAGTAGATTTTGCCCTGCTACAGGACATTAGCCTCTCACTAACATCTCACTGATGCATTTGATGCGCATGTCATGAGTCAGACACTGGTACATGAGTGTCATTGTTTTGAATTAGCACTATTGACTGCATTTTCATTGATCATGGTTCAGAAAACTGATTTTGAGTGCATCAACTATTGTCACGGAGTAACACTCCTCTCAGCCTTCTGTGACTTATACTCTCATCTCATTTTCAGCGGAGCTCACCAGGTCCCCACGAGCCATAAAGTCATTGATAAGAGCGAGAGCTCATCTCAGTCCACTCTTCTCACACATCTTCCAGTCAACTTGGCTTTCTAGAACATTCACCGAAGACTCTCCATTCCTTCTGCTAGGAACCACCTTCCTCACACATACCCACAGTCTCTTTGTATAGCATCCTTCATGTGTGACTGAGGCTTGCTTTGTCCACGTTATTTCAGAGAAAAGCTTTCCCTGTTCCTCTTTCTTATTTTAGTTATTCTGTGGACAGTTACCACATTGTTTTATAAAAGTAAATTTACTCAGCTGGGCAGTGGTGGCTCATGCCTTTAATTCCAGCACTCGGGAGGCAGAGGCAGGCGGATCTCTGTGAGTTTGAGACCAACCTGGTCTACAAGAGCTAGTTTCAGGACAGGTTCCATAGCTACAGAGAAACCCTGTTTCAAAAAAACCAAAACCAAAAAAAAATTTACTCAGTTCACTTTATGTATATTATTTTAATGCCCACTAAAATGCAAAGTTTTAGAGGGCAAGGAAACACTAGATCAATAGTGGGCAGCTCAGTAAACCACCTGTTGAATGAAGGAGTGAGTCGGCCCATCAGTGCAAATCTTTGAGTAGATAGCTTTGTGTGTAACATTCAGTTAAATGGAGTGGTGGAGCGGATCATTCGGCATGGCCACTGTGTTCTCTGTTGCACAATTCTCCATGTTCATGAATGTCCTAGTTAGGATTTTTATTGCTGTGAAGAGACACCGTGACCATAGCAACTCTTACAAAGAAAACATTTCGTTGAGATGGTATCTTACAGTTCCAGAGGTTCAGCCTATTGTCATCATGATAGGGAGCATGGCAGCATGCAGGCAGATGTGGTGCTGGCTACATCTTGACCAGAAGGCAACAGGAAATCAACTGACTGTCATGTGGAAGGAAGTTTGAGAAATAGATCTCAAAGCCTGCCCCCACCGTGACATACTTCCACCGACAAGGCCACACTTCTTGATATTGCCACTCCATGTGGGGGTAATTTTCTTTCAAACCACCACAGTGAATAACTGTTTAGAAGTTTATTTTTACAGGATGCCAGCAGCAATGTCTACCATACCACCAAGGAGACCACATCTAAACTGTTAGACTTTTGACTGCTCATTTAATCTGACTTTCTCACTTCAAAATCTTGAAAACACAATAAATAGCAAAGCTCTCCTTCAAGGGTCACTGGGAATATTTGATGACCTGCAGATAAAAGCCAGCAATGCAGTAGAAACAATATGATTATTGATGAGACATGTACAGGCATTGTTCATACATGCATATTAATAGTACATTCTAGCTACGGTTAGCTGACTCCAGGACATCCACAAGGAACGGCTGTAATGTTTGTTTGGTTTCATGTTGTTTGCCTTAGGGGACCATGGACATCGCAGCATATTTTGAAAGGATTGGTTATGAGAACTCAGTGAATAAACTGGACTTGGACACACTAACTGAAGTTCTTCAGCACCAGATGCGAACAGTTCCTTTTGAGAATCTTAGCATGCATTGTGGAGAACCCATGAATATGGACTTAGAGACCACATTTGACCACATAGTGAGGAAGAAGCGGGGCGGGTGGTGTCTCCAGGTTAATCATCTCCTGTACTGGGCTCTGACTAAAATGGGCTTTGAAACCACAATGTTGGGGGGCTACGTTTACATAGTTCCAGTCAATAAATACAGCAAAGAAATGATTCACCTCCTCGTCCAGGTGACCATCAGCGACAGGAACTACATTGTTGATGCTGCCTTTGGAGGCTCCTGCCAGATGTGGGAGCCTCTGGAATTAGCATCAGGGAAGGATCAGCCTCAGGTGCCTGCCATCTTCCGTTTGACGGAAGAGAATGGAACCTGGTACTTGGACCAAATCAGAAGAGAGCAGTATATTCCAAACCAAGAATTTGTTAACTCCGACCTCCTTGAGAAGAGCGAATATCGGAAAGTCTACTCTTTCACTCTGAAGCCGCGCACTATTGAGGACTTTGAATATGTAAATACCTACCTCCAGACGTCATCAACATCCGTGTTTGTACACACTTCATTTTGTTCTTTGCAGACCCCAGAAGGTGTTTGTTGTTTAATAGGCTCTACCTTTGCAAGCAGGAAATTCAGCTATAAGGACAATGTAGATCTGGTGGAGTTTAAAAATGTAAATGAGGAAGAAATAGAAGATGTACTGAAAGCTGCATTTGGTGTTTCTTTGGAGAGAAAGCTTGTACCCAAAAATGGTGACCTGTCTTTTACTATTTAGGGTGAGGCGCAAAATTGGGTTTCATTACTATTTCATCTTCTTCAACATTTGAAACGTATGCAGATGTATTCAAAACAGTCTTTATAGGATCATCACTGAACTTGATATTGATCAACTAATGATTTGTATCTTTTATTTCCTACATTTTATGAAAAGAAATCTTAGCGGTCCTGTCATTTTACCATAAAAAATATAATCAGTTATAATTAAACAAAATTTTAATGAATACAAACAAAAGGATTTAATGAATCCTTTTCAAGATTAATCATACAAAAAATTCTTAATGAAGATGTGGTTACCTTGGGAGCCATATTCACTTGCAAGAGAAAACTTTCAAACATTATGTTATAGTTGAACTCACATAAAACTTATACTAGTAGTTCAGTATGAATAAACATAACTGTTAAATTCAGCAAGAATAAATCTGATGACCAAGGTATACAAGAAGCCACCTTCACAACTTAGGATCAGAATAAAGCAAGCAAGAATGAGTCATCAGTTCAGTTCCAGGCAACTTCCTAGTCCCCAAGACAAAACTCAAGCCAGTGCATGGGGCTCTATGAGTAACTGCCAAGATAATGGCATGGCGTGGAATTTCTTCCAGGGTTAATTTTGTGGCACATGTCTGTTTGTATTTGATACTTTTTTTTAAAGCTATAGGAACACTGATATTTGGAATTAGGTGATTTATAAAATATATGTTACTTGGAGCACATTGTTTATGAAGTATATTGATTGCTAACTCTATTAAAGTAGTGTTGGCTAATATCATCTGAGTCAAAGGTTTCTTGGAAATACTGGGATATGATAAGCAATATGCCATCTGTAAGGCATGTATTCCTTTCCTCCTTGTCTAATATCCCGACTCCCTTCTCCACTTTAGCTCAAGAGAAGCAAGCAAACACACATGGCTCTTAGTGGACCTCAGAGTTCAATCCCTGAGCACATTACTGGGTAGAACTTTGGATCTGATTCAAGAAATAAAACTAAATTAGAGGCATATATATTCTGTCCCTGACAAAAAGAAGACAAATGGAGGGCTAGAATTAGTCTATAGGCCCACTACACTATAAGCCAAGAGTTTGGTTTACAGCACTACCACACAAAATTATTTTGCTCTGGGATTTGGCAATTATTTCTAAGTCTTTCCCTCTTTCTTTTCTTCACTCCTGTTAAAATTCTGTTCATATTGTGAGCTGCCTACGGCGTGCTTGATGAGAACAGACGCCAGAGGTGTACAGTCTGGCTTGTGCCCCCGAATCTGAACCTTTAACTTCTCTGTACCATGCTTTCTGGCTGGTTTCTCTAAGAGTGTCGTGTTGGAATCCAGCCTCTATTCAGGCCACCGTGCTTGCAGCAACCTTCACTACATGGTGGCGGGTACTGATTGACAGGCTCCTTTATGTGAGCCCTTAGCTAACAGGCGGTCCCAGCACCAGTTAACATCAAGAGAAGCATTGGCTTTGGCACTATAGATGTTATACATCCTCCTCCCCACACCCTTCCTAGACTCCTGCTTGGGAATCAGAGATCCTGGCTGCAGGCTCTTGCTGAGAATGTCTCCCATCCTCTATCACATAGATTCTTGTTCTCTTCAGAGACCCCGCCATGCTGCCTGTCCCTGGAGCTGAGGCCTGAAGTCTCCTTGGAGTCCTCCTGCCCCTTGGTCTATATACCCATGATGCTAATAACTCTTCCAGTAAACCCATTACTCCCCATTAATTCAGCCCAGGGTGCTCTTGAATACTCCTCTCCATGCAGATTCCACTGCCAGGGCTCTGGCTAACGCGGGAGAATCCAGCATCCTTCAGTCTTCAACTGGTCATGATCATATTAAGGTTAACAGAAAAGCATGGGCCAGGATATTACCAAATGTGCAGGTTATATTGCCACAAGGATGGATTTGTTTTGTTTTGTTTTGTTTTGTTTTGTCTTTGGGGACTGGTCGTACGTAGCCCAAGCTGGCCTTGAACTTGCTTTGAGTTTTTGATTGTCCTACCTTCTCTTCCCAAGTGCTAGGACTAGGCAGCGGCCACAGCATAGCAATTTTTCTGTTTTTGTTTTGGTTGGTTGCTTGTAGCAATATAATAGTTGGGAAGTGCTAGTGCAGGAATAAAAATAAATAAGCTGTTTGCAAACAAATCGTTGTATCAACAAAGGAAGCGAAATCCCTCAGAAGCACACTGAGAGGCATTGCATGCCTCAGAGTGACCCTGCTGAGCAGACAAAAAGTGGAGTTATGAGTTCTGTAACTCACCCCTCCTCCTCAAGCCCCACCCCCAGAAGCTTAAATTTAAAATCTATTCTGTTTACCCAGAATATATGAATAGTGTGAGCCAAAGGGATAACACAGAGGATTGATACTGAAGGGTCTTTAAAATACAGTGGACAGGGGAAACAGCTAAGAAGCAGCAAGCATTTTCTACCATTATCATTATAAATCAAAGACCTCTGAAATACTACACGTGCCCTGTGTACAACACAGGTACGGACACACGTCATATACATTCCACAGTGCCTTTGCGAGAGAAGCAGAAGGACCTGAAGGTGAGAGGTGAAAGAAAGAAAAAGGGAAACATATCAATAGAAGGGGATTCCTTTACTGAGAGTGTGAATGAGATGTGGCCATCGCTTCCTCCTCTACGTCCTGCATCTGCTTTGCCTGCGCCCTTCTCAAGCTTTGACCTCCCACAGGCTCCGACGGAGTGTGAACTCTAAGAAATACCAAGACCCTTCACAAGATAGCTCCCCCCTTTTCAAACTTGAGAGTTTGCCGGGGGCAGTGAGGCCTTACAACTACATTTCCCAGAGATCCTTGGCCTGGCTATCGCCAGGCAGAGGGGGACGGATCAACTTGGACAGCCAATAAAAGCACTTCCTCTGCAGACCTCTCAGCCTGCTTCCTGGTCTTCCTGGCCGCGGTCCTAGTTGCTGGGTAAGTGGGTTCTCCCAGATAGACTTGGAGGTCGGGGTTCCCTCCTCTCCTGAGAGGAAGACCAGGAGAAAACAGCACAACTCAGCCGTGAATTTCCAATCCTGAGGTTTTTGAGGAAGTTTGGGTGGCACAGACTTGGAACCCATGTTATAAATACTTTGTAGCACACAGGTGATTCTAACAATGTTTTGTTCAAGTGGGTGACAGCCACAGCAGTTTCTTTTAGAGAGATTTCAAGAGCCGTTTAATACTATTTCCTTCTTAGTCACGAACGCACGAGCAGTGCTTCTCAAAGGGTTTGTGAGAGAGAAAGAGGTGTGTGGACCACTTAAGAACTCTTTAATTGAGTCCCCTTGGATAATTTTAACGATGCTGACCACTGCATGTCTAGCGGGGTTACGGAGGAATTTTTGTCATGCTTGAAGAAGGGCTCGTCTGGAGGGTCTTTTAGGAGCTGTCAATAACGTCAGAAATTAACTACTTCCTGTGAACCCAGACTGAGTTGTTACCTCTGAACAAGACTGTAAGATTACACAGCAGCGAGGCGCCAGCATCTGCAAACGTCCAGGATTATTGGCCTCTAGCTGTGAACTCTGTTCTATACTGTGGGCACAATGTCAACAACATTGCTTGGCTCTTTTCTGATAAGGGCTCTTCCTTCTCTCTAGCCCCTCCTTTGACTGCCTCAGGCAACTGACTCCACCCTGTCTTTCAAAAAGAAAAAAATATGCCAACTTTTTTTAAGCTACCTACCACAGACTAACTATATGATTATGCCATGTTCACCTGTGACCCTAGTTTCTCCTTCCCTTTGGTTTTGTTTTCCTGTACTGGAAGCCATGGGTGCCAGGTATGTTTGCTATAACCTAAGGGCAGGTAGCTGGTGCTCTTTGCACACGTCCAGGTCAAGGACAAGTGTAGTCTCTTCCATCCGTTTAATCAAAGATTATTTATTTATTTATTTATTTATTTATTTATTTATTGCTTGTGGTTGTCAATAGAGTTGGATGTTGTGGACTTCATATCAAAAATGAAAGAGAAAAAGGATTTGGAGGGGGTGGCCTACACATCCAAAATTGCAAGCAATTCATTCGTTTTCATCATAGCTCTTCATTGAGTATTGCTGGTAATCCATGCAGTGAATGTAGCGTCCCCTCAATGGTATCTCCTGCTTCCAGCATTACAATATGCTACTCATATCTCCTTCTGGATTAATCTCTAGCTTCTCTTTGTTGGCCCCTTGCTCACAAGTCCATCGTGGGAAGAATAAGGAGTTCTCTTACTAAAACAATTGAAAATCACTCCTTTATTAGAAAGATGCAGTACTAAAGCAACAAGAGTTCTCTGCACCAACCTGTTCTCTGGTCGGGGGTGGGGGGACAGGATGTCTAAAAAGGACAACTTGTGAGTGGTGTGCCGTGCTGTGTCATTTAGGGACAAATGACAGCAGCTGGTATAACTATCGCATATGGATCCTTTGACTAAATAAATATCCCTGTGATCTGCAGTCCTGTGGCAGCAGACCCTCTAGAAGTTCCTTACCTTATGTATGCTAACCTTCTTATACATAGTTCCATGGAACAAACTTGAAGATAGCCAAATGGAAATTCCCTCAAACCAGATGCTGGGGCAAAGTTACACGTACGAGGAAACTGCTGGGGACAGGCAGCTCTGCCTATGTTTATAACTCTTAGTTTGTCCACACAAGAGCAAGGAAGCTGTGCAGAGTCCCTGTGCCAATGTGTCCTTGGCCCAGAGCTGGGAGGACATTCATTTAGGTTTGCCATTTACACCTTTTAGCAAAAGAAGCAAGAAAGCCCCAAAAGCCATTGAGGAGTCCTCTAATAAAATACAGGGTGCAGGGCTTTATGTAAGTATAAGCTTACAAGCCATGCCACAGATGTGCAGGAAGTGGTAAAAAGAATTTGCAGATCTAAGTGAATTACTGACGATCCTTCCTCACAACCTCACCTTGATTTTAAATCTTCTCCAAGATCTTGTGCCCTCTTTGGGGGCATAAGCATGCCATGTTCTTTATTCTTCAGTGCACATGGTAGACAGAAGTATGTGTAAGGGCTTCATGTGAATCATGCTGTGTTCAAAACATTATTCTGTTATTATCATTATTATTACCCATCTGTCTGTCTTTCAGCAAGTGCCTTTACCTATGGGGCCATCTCACCAGCCATATTTTCTTACATGTATTTTTCTCATTTTAGGTAAGGAGTGCAATCCAACTCTGCCCTTCCCTGTTGCATACATTTCTGCCTTGTATGTCAATACATTATCTAGGTTAGGGATTCATTCTTTGAGGTTTGGATACAAACTGTCCCCATAAATAGCTCAGATATTGAAGGCTGAACCCCAGCTGCTGGTGCTATTCGGCAGTGATTTACTTGTGAGGATGCTCACCTCCTCAATGGACCGAGCTCACAGCTGAGTGGGCTCTTAGGAATCAGGACCTCATTGGAGCAAGTGCATCACTGGAGGTATTGCCATAAGGGTCTCTCTTGTCACGTTTTCCTTCCTCTTTGCCTCTGCGTTTTGACCACCATGAGGTGAGCATGTTTGCCTTACCATGTACTTCAGTCTCAATGCAAACCCATGGTAATGAAGCCAGTTCTGCACAGACTGGTGCCTCTGAAACTGCCACCCAAAATAGAGCTTTCTTCCATTGGGTTGTTTGCTTGTTGCTTAATCACGGCAACAGAAAATAGCTAACCATCCGCTACAGAGCCTCAGTATGGCCTTTAGACTGGGTGGCTCCAGTGTTTGTGGTTCATGGGATAAACAATAAACAAAGCCAGAGACTTTGCCACCAGAAGCTTCCAAC